GGACTTGTTTTAATTGTCTTTAACTTCAAGTTGAACTTGCATATGAGCAGTTGATGGTCTGTTCCACAATCAGCTCCTGGTCTGGTTTTGGCTGAAGATACTGAGCTTTTCCACCGCCTCTTGCCACAGATGTAGTCAATCTGATTCCTGTGTGTTCCATCTGGTGAAGTCCACATGTAGAGCCGCTGTTTGTGTTGCTGAAAAAAGGTGTTTGCAGTGAATAAGTCATTGGTTTTGCAAAATTCTACCATGCAAGTTCCAGCATTATTTCTGTCACCAAGGCCAAATTTTCCAACTACTGATGACTCTTCTTTGTTTCCAACTTTTGCATTCCAGTCTCCAGTGATAATTAACACATCCTGATTGCATGTTCAGTCAATTTCAGACTGCAGAAGTTGATATAAACCTTCAGTTTCCTCATCTTTGGCTTTGGTAGTTGGTGCAAAAATTTGAATGATAGTTGTATTAACAGGTCTTCCTTGTAGGCATATGGATATTATCCTATCACTGACAGCATTGTACTTCAGGACAGATCTTGAAACATCATTTGTGATGATGAATGCCATGCCATTCCTCTTCAAACTGTCATTCTTGGCATAGTAGATAATATGGTTGTCTGATTCAAAATGGCCAAAACCAGTCCATTTCATCTCACTAATGCCGAGGATATCAGTCTTTATGCGTTCTATTTCATTTTTGACAACTTCCAATTTTCCTAGATTCATCTTCGTACATTCCATGTTCCGATGATTAATGGATGTCTGCAGCTGTTTCTCCTCAATTTGAGTGGTGCCGCATCAGCAAATGGAGGTCTCGAAAGCTTTACCTTATCCATATGAGTAAGGCTGGGTTTACTCTGATGGTGCAGCTCTTTCCCAGTCCTATTTTGAGAGCCTTCTAACCTAACCGGACTATTCATAAAGTTGCACGGTAATGTATCAGACAGTATTTCTTTGCTACTCATAAGGTTTTCCCTGGCCAATTCTTTGAGAAGTGGGCGGCCTCTTCTTCTTCCTAGTCTGTTTCAGTCTGTAAGCTGGGCTGATACCTATGCACCATGTGCATCCCACTCAGTTTGAAACACCAGTGGCTCAGCCTCAAAACTCACATCAACACGTCACCACGGTAGGACAAACCAGCAGACAAATTTGTCTCCTGTTGGAAACCTCTCCTACCACCCTTACCTGGATCCCTGTGGCTGACTCCTCTGGACCATTTCCTGGATGGTCTCAAGGAACGGAAGATTATTTTTATGTCTCACTGTTTCATTAGGGTTTTTTTATTGTGATTTGGGTGAAAGTTTACAGAGGAAATTCATCTTCCATTCAACAGTTCATATATATTTTGTTTCATGACATTGATTGCAGTCCCTATAATGTAACAGCTCTCTTCCCGCTTCCTCCCTTTGTTTACCTTTTCCCTGTGTCCTTCTTTTCCTGTGCATTCCTGCCCTCTGAGCTATATCCCTGTGCAAATGCTGCCCTTCTGATCTCCCATGATTGATTGTTGTAAGGAGTATACCTACCTGGTATAAATGTTCACTTTATAGACTTGTTCGTTATCTGGCTGAAAGGCACAGGAATAAGTGCAGTTCCAGGCCGACAAGGGGCCACCATAGTCTGAGGTATTTTACCAGCTGGAATAGAGGATTCCCCCCCTCCCCAGGATTATTTTTAAGCCCCGAGAGCTAATGTAAATTGTTCTCCTGGGTTTGTGTTTTTGTTTTCCTTTCCTTTTGACTTGCTTGATGCCCCTTTTTCTCTCTAATTTCTCTCATTTGGAATGGAAATGTGTACCTTGTGCCTGTTCCACCATTGTACTTAGAAAGTAGATAATTTGTATCTTAGATTTATAAAGAGAAAGGAATTTTGCCCCAGGATGGATTTTAGACTGGGAGTTGATTTAAGACTTTTGGCATGATATAATGGGTAAAAGTGTTTTGCATGTGGAAAGGACATGGATTTTGGGGAGCCAAAGACCGTAATGTCATGGATTGAAGTGTATCCCCCAAAAGTTTGTGTCAGCTTGGCTGTGCCATGATTCTCAGTGGTTTAGAAGTTATGTAATCATGTAATGTGGCAGATCTGTAATGATACCCCATGTTGTGATAAGTGATCAGGTTGCAGCAACCTTAGTCACATCACAGCCCTGATTCAGTGTCAGAAGAGCTTCCCTTGTGTGGACTGTAAAAGAGAAATGAGCAGCGAATGGGGACCTACTCCCACTAAGAAAGAGGAGCTAGGAGCAGAGCACATCCTTTGCCCCGGAATCACTGTGCTGAGATCCTCCTTGGAGCAAGAGAGAGAAAAAAAATCTTTCTCTAGAACTGGCATTTTAAACTTGGGCTTCTGCCTTCCTAAATTTGTGCTCCTGACCCAAGCCATGGGATTTTCAGATTGGGCTATCTACTTCCATAGTGATACCGCCTCGGAAACCCAAGGAGTAGTCACAATGAGTTGGAGACCATGGCACATAACAACATATGTGTGTGAAAGCTGAACAGTAAATAAGAAGACTGAAGAAGAGTTGATGTCTTTGAATTATGGTGTTGGCAAAGCATACTGTACTGCCAGAACAAACAGATCTGTCCTGGAAGAAATGCACTCAGAATGCTCCTTGGAAGCGAGAATGGCCAGACTTTGTCTCACTGCTTTGGTCATGTTGTCAGAAGGGACCATTCCCTGAAGAAGGATATCATGCTTGGCACAGTGGAGGGTCAACAAAAAAGGGGAAGGCCCTCAGCTAGATAGATTGACTCAGTGACTGCAATGATGGACTCAAATATAGCAAGGATTGTGAGGATGGCACAGGACCAGGCAGTTTTCTTTGTTGTAGATAGGGTCCCTGTGAGTCAGAGTTGACTCACCGGCACCTAACAACAACAAACTAAGAGAATTAATTTCTGTTTGTTAAAGCCATCCACTTGGGGTATTTCTATTATAGCAGTGTTTAGAGAATTAAGACACCTAGTTTGCAAAAACATAAAATGACAAGAAAGATTGAATGTGGTTTACTGGTAAGAAATACAAGTTTCATAAACTTACATAATTAAGTCAAAAATAAATTATTTCTGTTGTTGTTATGTGCCATCAAGTCGGACCTGACTCATAGCGACCCCTCCTTGGGTTTTCGAGGCAGTACCACTACAGAAGTAGATTACCCACTAGTGTACATCATTTGCCCCAATTATATACAAATTGGATGTAAGTGATATTATTGTGTTCAGTTGTGAAAGAGAAGACAACACAAGCACATGTACAATAAGGTGGAAGTATATCCAAAGGAATCTAAAAGAGAGGAGGCTTAATTAGGGTTTTTAAATTATAGGGTTGTTTTTTTTTTTTTTTTTTTTTTGCTTTTGGGGAGCAGAACCCTCCCCTTATAACATGCAAGTCTTATTTGATTTTCATGCATTAAGCTTTCAGGCAACTCATGTACCAAAGCAAGGTGCTGCCTGTAAAATGGCATTAGACCCCAGAAACCACTTAATTATCTCTAAAACACTAAATTACTGTGGTTAAGACCAGATTTTGAGAAGATTGTGTAGAATCTTTTTGACATAGTAGTTGAAATAAAAGATAGTATCTTCCCTGCCCATTTCTATAGATTCTGAAACATATTTACAGTAGCAGATAACTAAGTGAACGTTTCAAATTATTATTTTAAATTATTATTACATGTTATCTTGATACACTGTGAAGAATGTAACCATTGTCACTGATCATCATGTCTAGAAATGAACAGGAGTAGGTTTTGGCTGTGTGTATTTTCAGCAGAAATAAAATAAGTAAATTAAAATTTTTTCATTTAATTTAGCTTAAAATCCTTCCATGATGTTAAGGTACGTTGGTATTGAATTTGAGTTTTGAATTATCACAAAAATCTGTTAGTCTTTTTGCTTATGGTTTTAGGTCTTTGAAAATAAGAAGCCATATATTGAGTTGTGTATATATGGTATACACTGAGCTTTGATGAGCAGTGTGTCTCTGTAAGTCACCACATACTGTTTTATAAGTCACCATATAGTATTTACCTAGAGTACAGTAGAGAAGAATACACAGCAAACATATTAACAAAGTAAATACATAACTAGTTTGAAAAACCTGCAGTGTCAGACATTTAGGATAGTTTTGGGGGACAAAATGTACCTCTTGTACCACTTGAAGGAAATTAAAAACTCTTGTTGATCTCCACTAAGCTCATCTGCACATTATTATTATTTTTTTTTAATTGTGATTTGGGTGAAAATTTGTGCAGATTATTTTTATAAAAGCTACGTGGTGACAGAAAGGGCATAGTTTTTGGAAGCATAGATTTTAGATGTAGAAATTCTATTTTTTCTTCTAGAACATAAGCTGTTTCTCCAGAGGAGAGACATCTGTCTCTTTCTTTAACATTTTTTGTAGTTGGGGTGAACATATACAGAGCAAATTAGTTTCCCATTCAATTTAAAACTCCTTTGCTTTGTCAGTTGTCATAGTTGTGGCCGTATTTTATAGTGTATGGTTCTCTTACAGTGAAGACCTGGGAAAGGATGTTGAATTTGAAGTTGTTGGTGATGCCCCAGAAAAAGTGGGACCCAAACAACCTGAAGATGCTGCCAAAAGCATAACCAATGGCAGTGATGATGGAGCTCAGCCTTCTACGTCCACAGGTAAGTCATGTCTCCAACCAGCAAGTTGTTAATTACCCACCAAGCAGAGTATAGAGAAACAAGTTTATTTTTATGAACATTGACTATAAATAGGAATCTATAAAGAGGTGTGTGTTGCTTTGGTATTGTTGTAATGGAGCTTTGAATTCATGAATCGTGAAGACATTTAAGACTGAGGGAGATTCTCAGAGAAAATAGAAATACTTTGTTATTTAATGTGTTTTTACAACTAGAAATATCAGTAGGCTTGTTAGTGCATTAACACAGTTCATTCCCTGTAGTGGTTTTGGATTTTGTATGCCTTTTATTTAGGAACAGCAAATCAGTGCATCTGACTATTTTGAACGAATAGATGTGTGGTAAGTCTGGAATTTGGAGCTTTTTTAGAACCAGTATGATTTTGTGAAGTATGTCTGAGGCCTTTTCTCCTGGGTTTTTAGTACATAATATGTGAGCTTTTCCAGTAACAAAGTCTTTACTCTGATTTGAATGTTCTTTCCTCCCCACCCCATCAACTTTTCATTTGTTTTCATTTCTTCAACCCCATGTCTTTGATGCTCTTCAGAATGTGGTGTAGTTCTTGGTTGTGTGGGAGTTTTGAAGATGAACTTTAAGACAATTTAGAGTGACCCACCTGTGGACCGTGGGTTTGTGATGTTTTTTTTCTCCCACTGAAAGTAGGAAAGGTCCACCATCCTCTTGAGGAAGCTACTATGGTGGGTTTTGGAAAATCATAATTTGAAATATTTATTTGCTGATCCCCTACTGTGGGTAGGTTTCAGAGTATATGGCAATTAGCACGAAAGATACTCTGCCTTTAATTTTGGTTGTGGAAGGAGACAAAATGATGTTTACTATAAGGTTAAGAGCATGAACTGTGGAACCTCACTTCTGTGTTTGAACCACTTTCACATTTGCTACTTTGTGACTTTAGGTAAGTCAGTCTCTGTATCTTAGTCTCCTTTTCTGGAAAACAGAGTAATACTATCTTTGTAGGGTTATGTGAAGATTAAATGAGTTGTTAATATGCAGAATGCTTAGGATAGTGGCTGGCACATTGTAAGTGCTGTGTAAGTGTTGTTGTTATTTCATCATCACTATCTACTTCTGTAGTGATACCACCTCGGAAACCCAAGGAGGGGTTGCTGTGAGTTGGGGCAACTCGATGGCACATAACAACAACTGCCACCATTAATAGGATATGCAGGCTCCCCTTTTCTGTTGGAGGAGATTGAGACAGAAACAATAATTCTTTTGAGTTGCATAATGCTTGTTATAATTTTTTATTTTGATTTGAAAAGAAATAGGTGCTTGTTATGTATAAAACATGAAAATGGCAAAGAAATATGTAACATAAAAATCAAATTCCCTAAAGGCAATCACTCTTAAATTTGATGTTATTAGGTGCTGTTGAGTTGATTCTGGTGACCCTGTGTTCAACAGAATGAAACACTGCCTGGTCCTGCACCTCACAATTACTCCTTGCTATTCTTGAGCCCATTGTTGGCAGCCACTATGTCAATCCATTTTGTTAAGGGTCTTCCTCTTTTTCTCTGATTCTCTACTTTACCAAGCATGATACCCTTCTCCAGGGAATGGTCCCTTCTGACCACCTGAACAAAGTACGTGAGACTGAAGTTTGGCCATCTCACTTACAAGGAGCATTCTGGCTGCACTCCTTCCAGGACAGATTCTCTGATTCTTCCGGCAGTACGTGGTATTTCAGTATTCTTCACCAGCACCACAATTCAAAAGCATTAGTTCTTCAATATTCCTTGTTCATTGTCCAGCTTTCACATGCATATGAGGTGATTGAAAAATACCATGACTCAGGTTAGGGCATACCTTAGTCTTCAAAGTGATATTTTTGCTCTTCAGCACTTCAAAGAGGTAGAGGTCTTTTGCAGCAGATTTGCCTAGTGAAATACGACATCTGATTTTGACATTGGATTTCTCGACCTCTGCTTCCATGGGTATTGATTGCAGGTCCAAGTAAAGTGAAATCTTTGACAACTTTAAATCTTTTCTCCATTTGTGGTGATGTTGCTTATTGGTCCAGTTACAGAATTTTTGTTTTCTTTATGTTGCAATGTAATCCATACTAAAGTGTAGTCTTTGATCTTCAGTAAGTGCTTCAAGTTATCTTTACTTTCAGCATACAGGTTTGTGTCATCTGCATATCATAGGTGGTTAATGAATCTTCCTCCAATCCTGATACCACGTTCTTCTTCATGTAGTCCAGCTTCTCTAATTATTTGCCCAGCATACAGATTGAATAAGTATGGTGAAAGGATATAACCCTTAAATTTGATATATGTTAGAATACGTATCTTTAAATTATATAAAATAATTGGTGAGCTGCTAATAATTCCTACACATTTAACCATTTTTTTCCTTTTTCCTGAAATAAGCTCAAGAGCAAGATGATGTGCTCATAGTTGATTCAGATGAAGAAGGACCTTCAAATAATGCTGGTATCAGTGAAGAGGACAGAAATCGCAAGAGGAAATTGGATGAGAAAGAGAATGTTAGTGTAAAGAAGTCACGTACAGAACCAACAGACGAGTTTGATGATATTATAGCATTAGATTGAACAGAAGTATGCTTCTAAACAGAACCTTCTTATTGGCATTAATTCATCTGGACGGAACCAGATTATTTGTTATGTCCTTTGTTCCAAAGGGAAAAAATTCACACCAACGACTTGAAAATTATTCTACTCCCTTTGAAAGCATTCATTTTGGTAGAGCTATTAGAAACATTACAGTATATTGTATTGAAAGTAGACATAGTTTTAAAACCCTTTGAACAAAGTATGTGTATAAACAGTCAAGAAATACAACAACAATGCATGTTGCCTTTTTAATGTAAATACCATTAGGTATCATTTAATAGTTTTAAAATATTGTGGTTTAGTAAAGTTGATACCTGGTTATAAATATTATGCCTTTATTTTTGGTTAGAAGAAGAGTTATTTTTTAGCCTAGATCTAACCATTTTCATACTCTGACTGAAACAGATTCAAAGAAGTGCTATGCATTGCAACTTGTTTTTTAAATGTTGACTGGCACTATGTATATTACTGTAAAACAATGTTAATTTACTCACATTTTCAGTTTGTACTGCTTGGTGTGTCTGTGTAAGAAGACAATTTTTGTGTATTGTTACAGTTTCAGGTTATTTATATTTGATGTTTTGTAAAACTCAAATACAACTATACTGTACTTGGACCAAATAAATGTCATCTTCCTTGTTACACATGCCTGCATAGTTCACATTTCTGCTGCCTTATTGGGTTATACATTATATGTATTAACAGGCATGCTGAATTCTTCCCATTTTAAAAAAAGTCAGTTTTTATGGGTATGAAGATTGAAAATATCTCCACTGTTTGTCATAGATGAACACTTTCTAAAATAAAGCTTTTTATGACAATGTTGCTTTTTTTAATTTGGATTGTCAACAGTTGGCTTTTTGTTGAGAACATGCTAGTGATCTTTGCTCAGTACCAATAACTTTTAGAACCTTGGAATTGAGGTGCCAGGGAATAGGGGAGCTTTCCATTCTGCAGTCCTTCTCTGGGTTGTCCCAATTCACCAGAGTCCCTGACCTGTCCAGCTTTGAGTGGAGCACATCACGTTTCTCTTGCCATGGACCTCAGAAGGCCTTGCCTCTTTGGGTGTTCTCAATACACATGAATGTGCCTTGAGTTTTCAGAGAAAAGCCATTTTCCCTGTTCTAAACCTGTGCCCTTGGTGGTTTTGGCTACTGTTGTTTACTTTCATATAACAAGTAAATTTTAAATGAATAATTCATTTTGTTGATCCATCTTATGTAATTTTTATTCTGTCTTCCAGCTTCTTAACTATTTAAGAAAAGAAACCAGTGCACTGTTTTTGAGTCAATTCTGACTCGTAGTAACCCTACGGGATAGAGTGGAACTACCTATAGCATTTCCACGGCTGTAAATCTACTGGAGCAGATTGCCTCATCTTTCTTTTGAGGAGGGGCTTTTGGGTTCAAGCTGCTGGCCTTTCAGTTAGCAGCTGAGTGCTTTAACCACTGCTCCACCAGGGTTCCTTTATTAACTTTTAATCCTTGTTTTATACTATTTGTACATTGAGCATATAATGAAAGCTTTCAGACATCATTTTGAATAAGACTCTCATCGTGCTTTTTGAAGTCTCCAGGATGGAGCCAGCCTTCTGATCAAGCAGCTGCTAGCAATCTAAACCTTAGCCACAGCTTAGCCTGTGATGTTCACTGTGCCTTGAGAGTTTTAGATGGTGTTTCATTTTCCTCTAGAAAAAAATTCAAATTACAGAGTAATGTAATATAAAATGAAATGCCCTAGAATACCACTTCAGAAATAAGCTTTGGTTAACCAGTTAAGTGACTTTGTTGATCACTGACATTTTGGATTCTGAAAGCTGTCCAGAATTTAGAATTTTGAAATTCTCTCCATTTACACCTCATCATGCTTTATAGATACACTCATCAACATGTTTCCAGCATTTTCTGTTTGTTCTTTTGATTGTCTGATTTGAATGTACATGACATTAAGTGCCAGTGAGATCTTTAGATGTGCTGCTTTTTTGGTAGACCAATAGTTTTCATCTTTGCCATGACTCTTTTACTACCTTTTCTAGCAGTGTCTGCCAGTTCACCTCCTGCTTTTATAATTAAGTTTGCCAGCAAGGCAGGTCTGACTACTAATAGGTGCATGTGCTGTTATGTGCCATTGAATCAGACCTGACTCATAGCGACCCCTCCTTGGGTTTCTGAGGCAGTATCGCTACAGAAGTAGATTGCCCAACCTTCCGAGGAGTGGCTGGTGGGTTTGAACCACCAGCCTTTCTGGTTAGCAGTCAAGTGCCTTAGGCACTATGCTACCAGAGCTCCCTAGGTGCATGGGACTTGCTCAAATAGCTAAGCAGATCCAACCTACCTTTACATCCCTGGAGTATGGAAATCCTTCAGGTCTGGGGTAATAGTTGTGGTCTTCCTGTGCAAATGGAATCTTAGTGGGGAGCTGGGATTGTTTAGGGTATCTTCCCAACAGTTCCCATTTCTAACCTGGAATTCACTGTTGAGAAATCATTTTGCAGCCTCATTGGCACCCAAGTTTACCACAAGGAGATTCAGCATTCCTAAAACAGAGCTGAGTCCTTAGTGCATTAACTCATCAGGCAAAGATCGCCAATGGGTACCAAAACCTTTATGTAAAAGGGAGAAAAATCCAACACAATGGACAGATCTACCTGTCACCACCATAATCAAGTGATCAAATCTGTATCATCACTAATGGGACAATCTGAGATGTGCTTCCTGATGAGATAAAAAACACCACCTTTCTAAAAAAAAAAAAATTGTTAACCCAAATCTAACCAAGCCTCTAGACTTCCAGCTGATAGGAAATAGAGGGACAAGTTGAACAACATTCAGAGGAAAATAGCTAAGTACAGAATGTGGAACAATCCATAACTCAGCTGCCTGGTATCAAATCACTTATTAGAAGGTGGGGAGCAGTTATTTTAGACTGAAAGAAATAGAGACATTGAATCTTTTTAGTGTCTTGGCTCAACAAAAATGATTAAATTTTGTGACATTGTGGAAATTTGAAATTGGAATAGATAATAAGTGATAATGGAATTGTTACTTTCTCAAGTAAGGTTTTGTAGGCCAATGCCCTTATTGAAAAAGTAGGAACGAAGTTTCATACCTACAATTTTTAAATGGCTCAGTTAGATAAATAATACTGGGAGGGAACAAAAGTAAAATGTTTCCGTTCGTTGAATCTAGATGAAGTGTATATACATTATCCATTGTACTACCTTTTCAGTTTTTCTGTGAAAATTTGTAAAAGTGAATAAATGTGTTTTTCTTTTGTGCCATGTGACTTTTTAAAGACTTCTATCAGAGCATATACTATGGTTGAACTCAGAAAGACAATAAAAACTATTTAAAATTTGAATGAGAAAGAAGGTGATTCCTGGGTCCAGCACACGAATCCTGGTGGTGCAGTAGTGAAAGCACTCAGCCACTAATTTGCAAGTCAGCCGTTTGAACTCAGAGCCGCTTCACAGGAGAAGTATGTGACAGTCTACTTTTATAAAGATTTACAGCCTTGGAAATGCTATGAAGCAGTTCTACCCAGTCTTACGGGGTCGGTGTGAGTTGAATTGACAGTGGATTTGGTTTTGGTTTGTTGTTTGGATCCAAAACTGGTGAAATTAGTTTTTCTCATCCTCCTATTGCCAGGCTGTGATTTAAGAAGGATTCTCCTTTGTTGAGCCTCCAGAGAACTAAAGAAAGCAAAATTCCCAGTAGACTTAAGATCTATTCAGAGGCTGCCCAGTAAGCAGTTGGTTCATGAAAGATGCTCCTATCACTGAAAATTATCTGTTTGTGGCACATGTGTCCAAAATGGACTTGCCCTATGGCCAAGAGACATGCAAATTTAAACCTACAAGCCTTTTGGAATATACAGAAAATAAAAAGCAAATAAGTCAGGGAAGAAAAAATGTCAGCATATGTTTCTAATACTGAGATTTGTAGGAGAGTGAATGCCTCTTGTTTTCTCAGTGTCTTAAAGCCATGTTCCTGAAAATTCCATGTGACCATTTTGAGGCAGGATATATTTAGAGAAGTATTTTTATAGACGTTTTCAAACTGGGAATACATTATTTGCATTCTGCAGATTGAAGGAACAATTTTTCTGTATCCAATTAAAATCAAATTCTAGCCAAAAGCTTATTTGAGAAATTTTTGAACTGCTTTCACTATAAACAAAAAACAGTGTAGGGCTCCCATGTACTGTTTAGTTCGGTTATATTTTGAAGATAATTATCTCTTGGGAAAGCAGTATTTTAGGAAGTTCTGCAGAATGTCTCTGACTCATGCCAGCTTTAAAAATTTTTATCTAGCAATGAGTGATGATTCATTAGATAAAGGCTCTGAGCAAGTCTTAACTAAAATGCACAATGCTCCAAGAAGTTCCTCAGGCTTTCTACTTCAGAAATATCCCAACAATTTACTTTGATTTTCAAAAGATCAATCTCAGGAAATTTAGTATTGTGCACATTGTGTTATTCACTCTTACATGTTTTGCATTCCTACTCTGTCCTCTGCTGAGTGCAGTGGAAAGCCTTGGCAACATGGTCAACTTGGGTGGAAACTTGAAAATAGTAAGACACTAAGACTGGTGTGCACAGAAACCTGATTTCCTCATCATTGGCAGCAATAGGTGATAAAATGCAGATCTGAGGATGCATGTCCTGTGTGCCACCAAGCTCAGGGGCAAATTACCATCCAATTTCTGCAGCACTGAAAGTTACCAACTTCATGCTACAGAATGTGATATAAAAAGCTACAGGAATCTGGACATTCCCAAGTAGTTCCTACTCGAACTGCATAGATTGGCTGGGGATTCTTACATGGTACAAAGTTTAGGCAGAAATTCCCATACTTGAGTCAAGGGGTAAGGTTTCAATGCAAGAAAAAGAAGGCATTAGTGCCAAAGGCATTTGACTGCTAACCAGAAGGTTGGCAGTTCAAACCCATCAGCCACTCCGCAGAAGGAAGACTGGGCAATCTACTTCTGTAGAGATTTACTGCATCAGAAACCCAATGGGGGGGTTGCTATGAATTGGAGTCGACTCAATGGTAGTGGTTTTTGTTGTTTTTGGTTTTCCCTAGTTTGAGGTTCCAGGATGGCCATTTTCTCCCTGATGAAGGAAGCTGTCTTAGGTTGGGTTCTCTAGACAAACAAAACCAGTGAAGT